CAAAACCCCAGATCGTGTAATACGAAAACATGCTGACCAGCTAAGGGACCGTTTGATATCAGATACGACGAAGCGCGTGATCGCTGACAGCGATCAGAGAGAGTGTGAGACCCCAAGGCGAGGGCGGACACATAAGCCCCCGAAACGAATAATTGAAGAGATATAGACATCTCTCAATTAACGTAGAGGGAAATGTAGTAAAGAAGTAATCTATTGTAATATTTTATCATATTATATATATATTATTATATATAATCCTCAAAAAATGTCAATCAAATTTAGCCAATAGTTTTCTTTTAAATATTATTTGTCCAATCAAAATGATTATAGCAGTCACAGTCACAACTGTGACATTATATAGTCAATTATTTTACCTGATAATAGTCAATTATTTTACCTGATAATAGTCAATTATAATTTTGTTAATATATTATGTAATATTTAACTTCTTTATTAATTTGGACGTTTGTCCTACTTAAATAGGAAGTGATTCTTAATAATATTTAATTAATATTAACAAATTCGGAAGTATTTAAGTTATGTTAAATTGTAGTTTTAATCTCCATGATATTTAGCGCCATCTATAATAATATATTTTATTTTAAATAGCATTATATTTCTAAGTTGAAATGTAAATATTTTGTCTTAATTGATGTCAAATATATTGTTCTTTCTATATATCTATAATTTATCTATCTATCTATCATAGCAATTTTAAGTCAATTTAGATCATATTAGCAAAATGGATTTAATCTCCTATAAATCATGGAAAGCATTTCAGAAGTATTTTGAGGCAATAGGCAGGAAGGAACATTAGTATGAAAAAAATGTTTGCAGATAATCCTACAAGAGCTAAGGAATTCAAATCTATAATATATATTCAATAAAAATCATCATAGCTTAAACATATCAAACACGCATTCATAAACCAAATCGAACCGCCATTTTCAAAAAAAGAATTTCAATACAAAAAACAATTACAAAACATATAATAATATAATAATTACAATAATTGATATTTTTTTTAACAGACACAACATCAAGCAAAACCTTCAATCATCAGTAAATAATTATATTTTTTAATAAACACCACAGCGAGCAAAACCATATACTTTCAATTTACACATCTTAATCTTGAAGATACTGAAAATCAAGAACAAGTTGAACATTACATATACTTACGTTTTATCTGAGCATCTTATTTTATATTTGAAAATTCATTTATCTATTCTATTTTACCCACGTTAAGTCGCAGATTTAGGGAAGTTAAAATTTTTATAAATACAATTTTTTAGATTCTTGCACAAAAAACAAACTTACATAAAAAATACATATAATATTAGATAAGTTTTTTAAGGTTATCTCATAGGCAATGTAAGTTAAAATTTTTATAAATACTATTTTTTTAGATTCCTGCACAAAAAACAAACATACATAATAAATACATATAATATTAAATAAGTTTTTTACGGTTATCTCATAGGCAATGTAAGTTAAAATTTTTATAAATACTATTTTTTTAGATTCCTGTACAAAAAACAAACTTACATAATAAATACATATAATATTAAATAAGTTTTTTAATGTTATCTCATAGGCAATGTAAGTTAAAATTTTTATAAATACTATTTTATTATTTTTTTTAGATTCCTACACAAGATACCATTCAACAAAACCAAACAATGGAACGTTCATACTACCAAAATCTAAAGAAGGCATTATTGCTTCAACAAGAGTAAATTTTATATTTTTAAGATGTGATTCCGAAATATATATTTATTAGGTGAGGGGCTATTCTAATATTTTCCATTATTTTTTATAAATATGTTTATGAAGTATATATTTAGTAATTTTATTTTATGTCCACAATAATAAATATTTTAAACTAAACTTATTTTTATAAAATTGAGTAATTCTTATATTTTTAAATTTTAATAATAAATCAACATAAGGAGAAAGCTAGAAAGAGACAGGCACTTTGTCGTATCAAGAAAAGGAACGAGCAAATATTCCTACAACATCCAACTATCTTGAAGATACTGGAAATAAACAATTTGCTTCAACATCCAATCATCTTGAAGATACTGAAAATCAAGAACAAGTTGAACATTACTGTGGGCCATTAAAATCTATTTTATTATTTTTTTTAGATTCCTACACAAGATATCTTTGGTGCAATATCTAAGTATAATTTTTTCAGTGATCCTATATCAATAAAAACAAATCAAGTTAAAAATTTTAATTTATGACAATAAATAAATTTATTTAAATTAGATTCCACGGATCATATTGCCGAAATGTGCCATTCAACGGACTCTTAATCTACCCAAATCAATAAAAACAAAAGAAGTTAAAAAATTTAATTTATGTTATCAAATAGATTTTTTTTAAATTAGATTCCACGATATATATTACCGAAATGTACCATTCAGCAGAATCTTAATCTACCAAAATCAATCAAAATAAACCAAGTTAAAAATTTTAATTTATGTTAACAAATAAATTTATTTAAATTAGATTCTACGAATCATATTACCGAAATGTACCATTCAACAGAATCTTAATCTACCCAAATCAATAGAAACAAACGAAGTTAAAAATTTTAATTTATGTTAACAAATAAATTTTTTTAAATTAGACACTACCAAAATCTACTATTCACCAAAATCTTAATCTACCCAAATCAATAAAAACAAACCAAGTTAAAAATTTTAATTTATGTATAACAAATATTTTAATAAATATAAATTTCTGAATCACATCTCATAAGATAGATAAGAAAATTTTTGATTTATCCATCATCAGGGGCTATTCAAAATTTATTATTTATTTATGAAGTATATGGTTATTAATTTTAATTTATGTCCACAATAAAAAATATATTTCATCAACTAATAAAAAAGAAAATTCTTATTTCACTATCATCTTGACGGGCAAAATATAAGATAAAATAAGTATGTGCTACATAATCGTAGTTACCCATGGAATATTTAAGCCTGGCATATGTTTACATCAGAGCCGGTGTATTGATTGTGAAATCAATACCCATTGTAACTTCAATACCGTATTGATATCATTATAGATTCAATACCGTAGTGATATATTGCTATTGTAGAATCAATACCGTATAGATTTTTAAGATGTTTGCATCGCTTCAAATATATTGGCGACCATTAAAATTATAAAATATTTATTTATTATATATTTTTTCATCGCTTTTAAATATTGGCGGCCATTTTCGATTTGTAAAAATTTTATTTAAAATAGATATAATAGTTTTAAATATATTAAAATGATAAATATGATTTTCTATTCTTTTATATAATTTATCAGGGAATTTATTTATTTTACAATTCTTGATATCCTATATATTTTATATTTGTTTACTCATTATTTGTAATTTGTGAAGTGCTATATAATTGTTGATTCAAAGTTTTATAAATGATATTATGAATTCAAATAAATTAAATGGACCTTATTGATTGAGTTTATAAAATTTTGTGATTCATATATAAATGTCGAATCAAAGATTTATAAAAATCAATAACGTATTGATTTTTGATGGTATTGATTTTACAATTACACCGGTCTGCAGGTCTCTGAATAATCACAAAAATATTAAATTATATGTATAATTTTTAGCAGGCCTCAAATTTATTTTATTTATTTTAGATAAATATTTCTGCACAACAATCATTAGTACAAGAACATTATTGTGGATTACTCAACACTAAGTGCGATTATTGCTTTTCTCTAAATTTTTTATTGGAAAAACCCACAGATGGCAAATTTAAGAATTGCTGTCATAAGGGTAAAGTTAAGATACCATCAATCCGATATATTCCTTTTTTACAAGACCTTTTATCTAATCCTAACAATGAATTTCATTCAAACTTTATGAAATATATAAGATCTTATAATAGTTCACTTGCGTTCGCATCCATGGGAGCACAGATTTCTAATAGTTTAAACCCAGGCCCATATTGTTTTAGAGTTCATGGGCAAATTTATAACCGAACATCTCATTTATATCCTTCCACTGGGATGCCTCCTAAATTTACACAACTATATGTCCTTGAGACCACCCAGGCTGTTAATGGCAGGTTACACATGAAAGAAAATTCTGGTTGCAATGAGGATCTCTTAAAAAGATTAGATATTTTAATAAGACAGAATAACCCATTTTCTATTAGTTTTAAAACCTTGGGAGAAATTGAGAAAGAAGAAAAAAATAGGGCTATTCAAGAAAATCGTCCAGTTCAAAAAATCAATATGATTATTCGTGCAGATCGCTCAAGTGACAAGCGAAGATATAACATTCCTAATATAGATGAAGTAGCTATGATTTTTACAAATGATGATGGTGAACCCCCATTTATACGGGATATCAAGGTCTATCCTCGAGTTGATGGTAGTGATCTGATAAATATAAATATATTAAGCCCTAATCTTGATCCAATGGTATATCCTCTATTATTTCCTTTTGGTGACCCTGGTTGGAAACCAGATTTAAAGGGTGAAGATACAGGGCGTACAAGGGCAAATATCTCACTACTACAGTTTAAAATATTTAGATTAGCAATTCGTGAAAATGAATTCAACCCAATCCTTTTTGCTGGGAAATTATCACAACAATATATTGTTGATTCCTATTTACAGGTCGAGACGAATAATTTAAATTTTATTAGACAAAATCAGCCAAAATTACGAGTAGATGAATATTCTAGATTAATGGACTACTTGGAAACAAAGTCAAACAATATAATTCCCGGCGAAATATGCGAGAACGCTATCACGATGCAATGGCCATTGTGCTCAAATTTGGCAAACCTGATTTGTTTATTACTTTTACATGCAATCCTAATTGGCGTGAAATTAAGAAAAATCTATTTCCCGGGCAAAGTCCTACAGATAGACCAGATTTAATAGCCCGTGTTTTTAAATTGAAATTAAATGAATTATTGTTCGATATAAATAAAAAAAATTTATTTGGTAAATCTATGGCTTTTATATATACAATCGAGTTCCAAAAAAGAGGTTTGCCTCATGCCCATATACTTATTATTTTAAACGATGATAGCAAAATTGAAACATCTCAAGCCATAGATAAATTTGTTTGTGCCGAAATGCCAGATAAAATTCTCGATCCTAAACTTTTTCAGATTGTTACCCATTTTATGATACATGGTCCTTTCGGGATATTTAACCCCAAATCGCCTTGCATGGAAAATGGCATATGTACCAAAAAATTTCCGAAGGATTTTCAAATGGAAACAAGACCAAATATTGATGGGTATCCATATTATAAAAGGCGAGATAATGGTATTACAATTCTTTCCGGTAAACCTACGGATAATCGTTATGTTATTCCATATAATCGATATCTAATGTTAAAATTCAATGCTCATATTAACGTGGAAATTTGTACATCTATTAAATCGGTAAAATATATCTTTAAGTATATTTATAAGGGCTATAACTGTACTAATGTTGACATTAATGTTGCTTCAAATATAAATATTCATGACGAAATTAAATCACATTTAAATGCGCGATATGTGAGTGCATGTGAATCAATGTGGAGATTATTAGAAAATAATATGCATGACCGCTCGCACGCTGTTATTCGCTTAGGAATTCATTTACCTTTACAACAGCCAGTATATTTCACTGCTGGACATGAAAGAGATGCTTTATTGAGATCAGAAAATAAACATACTACTTTAACGGCATGGTTTGAGTTAAATAAGACAGATCTAAATGCTAGACAATATCTTTATGGGGAAATACCTTATCATTATGTGTTTACAAATTACCATTGGAAACTAAGAAAAAAACGATTAAATGTAATTTCGATAATGTATTCCGTTCATCCTAATTCTGGTGAACTCTTCCTTCGATTATTATTACTTCATGTTTGCGGGGCTACAAGTTTTGATTATTTAAAAACTATTAATGGAATTTTAATGAGTACTTTTAAAGAGGCAGCTATTAAAAGAAATTTGTTATCAGATGATAAAGAGTGGGAATCATGCTTAGAAGAGGGATCAATATATCAAATGCCGTCACAACTTCGGAGTACTTTTGCCTTTATCTGATTTTTTGTCAGCCTGAAAATCCTGCATATCTATGGAATAGGTTCCGATTTATGATGATTGAAGATTATTTGCGTCAATATTCAGAAGTAATTGCAATAAACATGGCTTTAATGGACATTGAAAACGTTTTTCTTGATCATGGTTTATGCTGTCAAAGTTTTGATCTTCCTTCACCTACAAAAATCCCCCCAAAACAACATTATGATGCCCATGTTGAAGCTGCCGATTCAATCGAGCGTATATCTAAATTAAACCGATTACAAAAATATGCTTTTGATTTAATTATACAAGCGATTGAATTAAATATTCCAGAAAGATATTTCTTCGTGGATGGCCCTGGAGGTTCAGGTAAAACGTATCTTTACAATACCTTAATGTGTTATATAAGAGCAAAAAATCAAATTGTATTGCCTTTTGCAACCACCGGCATATCCTCTATTCTTTTAAAGGGGGAAGAACCATCCATAGCGGATTTAAATTACCTGTGCCTATCTTTGAAACTTCTACATCCCATATGAATTTACATAGTTCGCTAGCTCTAGATATTAAAAATAGCAAATTGATTATTATTGATGAGGCCACAATGATGACTAAACACGCTTTGCGATGCATTGACCGATTACTTAAAGACATTATGAAAAATTCCCACCCATTTGGCGGAAAAGTAATTTTATTAGGTGGTGATTTTAGACAGACTTTACCAGTAGTGCCTAAAGGCTCCAAAGTCGATATTATAGAGTCCTGTATAAAAAGTTCATATTTATGGAGTCATTTTAAAATAATACATTTGATTGATAATATGCGCATTTCATCAGATCAAGTTGATAACAATGCTTGGTTACTTAAAATTGGAGATGGGCTATCACGCAGCAATTCTGATCTTCCTACAAATAGTGTTAAAATCCCACCTTATTTGCTTGAAAATGATTCATTAATAAAATGTGTGTATGGTAATTCTACTGAAATTGCTGATATAGATAGTCTTTCTACTAAAATAATATTAACCACCAAAAATAAAATTGCACTTACCCTCAACAACGATATCATTAATATAATTTCAGGCCCTATCAAACATTATTATAGTGCAGATTCCATTGAAAGCGATAATAAGGATGATATAATGAATTTTCCACTAGAATTTTTGCATTCACAAACTCCATCCGGTATGCCACCTCACAAGCTAACACTTAAGGTTGGTACAATTGTTATGCTATTACGCAACTTGAGCCCAAAGAAAGGACTTTGTAATGGTACCCGTTTAATCATACGACATTTACATATTAATTTTAAATACGCTGAGGTATTGACAGGCACTAATAAGGGTTATCGAGTTTTTCTCCCACGAATAGATCTAGCTCCAAGTGACTCTCAGTTACCATTTACTTTAAAAAGACGACAGTTTCCTATAATTCCCGCTTTTGTGATTACAATAAATAAAAGTCAAGGACAAACTTTAGATGATGTAGGCTTATTCCTCCCTGAGCCCGTCTTTGCCCATGGACAACTATATGTGGCTCTTACTAGATGTAAATCTCAAAATAATATGAAAATTATGATTTTGCCATCAGAATTACAAGGAAAAATTTTAAAAAATGATAAAACATTCACACAAAATATCGTATATAATGAAATCTTAAATTCATAATTTGTAAGAAATTTAAAAAAGTCACCAACTTTGTTATTCACCATCAAATCACCAACTTTACATCATCTTCAAAAACTAAACCACCTTGAGCAAAGAAAAGAGAACTTCTTCACCATCGCTAAACTATCTTCCTCACCAAAAACAGTATATTCTATTTTATAATTTCAATTTACACGTTTTATTTCAGGTTATTTACAGCAAACTACGAGCAAGAAAATCACAACATCATCTTCAAAAACGAAACTACATTGAGCAAAAAAAAGAAAACTTCTTCACCATCGCTAAACCATTTACCTCACCAACAACAGTATATTCTATTTTATAATTTCAATTTACACGTTTTATTTCAGGTTATTTACGGCAAACTACGAACAAGGAAATCACAACATCATCTTCAAAAACGAAACCACCTTGAGCAAAGAAAAAAGAACTTCTTCACCATCGCTAAACCATCTTCCTCACCAACAACAGTATATTCTATTTTATAATTTCAATTTACACGTTTTATTTCAGGTTATTTACGGTAAAATACGAACAAGGAAATCACAACATCATCTTCAAAAACGAAACCACCTTGAGCAAAGAAAAGAGAACTTCTTCACCATCGCTAAACCATCTTCCTCACCAATAACAGTATATTCTATTTTATAACTTCAATTTACACGTTTTATTTCAGGTTATTTACGGCAAACTACGAACAAGGAAATCACAACATCATCTTCAAAAACGAAACCACCTTGAGCAAAGAAAAGAGAACTTCTTCACCATCGCTAAACCATCTTCCTCACCAACAACAGTATATTCTATTTAATTTCAATTTACACGTTTTATTTCAGGTTATTTACGACAAACTACGAACAAGGAAATCACAACATCATCTTCAAAAACGAAACCACCTTGAGCAAAGAAAAGAGATTGAAATCTCCTTTTTTGGGTAAAATTTTCTATATTATAAAATTTATTATATTATAATGGCTACAAATGCATATGTGTTGTAACCCGATATTCATCAACTCTTGAAGTATAAATATTTATTATATTTTCTTATAATTCATATCTTTGTCTCTTTTTTTCTATTTCTTCCTTCTTATTTTTATTCTTTTTTTCATTTCTTTGCTCCCCTAAAATCCATCTCCTACCTTCACGCGGTGGGGAGTGAACAGTAATTCTGACTAACAGGAGCTCTGGTAAATAATGTTAGTATTTAGGGTGCTAATAAGAGATATTGTTTCATTTTTGTAATTTAAAATATATATTTCGAAATCACATCTCATAAAAAGGAAAATGTCTGATTCATCCATCATCAAATAAAGGTAAAATATATTATTCATCAATCATTGAATAAAAAAGACAATTCCTCTCTCTTAGTCTTAATGGGTTGGAATTGGCCTGAAGGAGGAGGGGGAGGGGTAAAAAGAATTATCCTAAAAGAACGAATAAAATTCTCATCCCCGTCATTTTTGACGGGTCTAGTTATATATTATATTTTCCATAGGTATGATTATACATATATATATATATTTACGACTAATAAGTAGGTGTTGTTTAACTTCCTAATGTATTATGTACACACCCATCCATTAACGTGTAATTATATATCGCCATTTGTAATTAAGTTGCATATTATGGTTAAATTATACTGAATAAAATGTCAATGAAAACTGATACTTACTGTGAATACATCATAGAAATAAATAAATGTAAATACTGGTTCTACCTTCGTTAAAGCTATGACTGCAAATTAACCAGCACCTATTATTTGTGCACTATGTAATTTAGGATTATTACTCCTGCGGCTGAGGGCATTTGATTGTATAATTAAGATGAGCAATAATGGTTAACTGACTAGTCATTTTATATCATTAAAAATGATAGATAATCTTATAGAAATTTAATATCTCACAATAATTTTTTCAATTCTTATCTAGCTTCCATAATGTCATCTAAGAGGAAACTCTAACCCCCCTATAGTTTTATGATGGATTACTAGTTTATATTCTCTTCTTCAAGAATCAATAATTTAGTTAGGCCTACAAATTTTTCCTTATTAGTCCATTCTATAAAAGATTGTCTTAAATGGTAACACAACGTTATATAGGTTTTATGCTAAAAATTATATTGCCTTATGTGGTTTTTAAAAATATTATCAATTGAGGCAGTATATGAGTTAATTAACCTCATTTTATCACTTGTAATTCTTTAGACGCAAATTTTTTTTATATCCATAATGGAAACTATTTAATATTGTAATAAATGGATAACTATTTTGTATTAAAAAATATTATCAGAAATATCTTGTATAGTTCTACTTTCATTAGTTGTATAACTCATAAATGGTAAAATATGAAATTCAGAATAATTGTTCAGAGTTTGCAATTTTCAATTAAAATATAATATATTCATATAAAACCCATAAAATAGAGGGTATGGAGGAAGCCCCCCCCCCAAAAAAAAAAATTTTTTTTTAGTTGAGCCCTCTGATATTGTAAAGGCCAGTGACACCCCTGTTGGCTCGAAACAAAATTCCAACGATGGCGTGTTGAAAAACATCCAATACAAAACCACAATTCTAGATACATGAATAACTCTAATATCATGATAGTGAGAGAGAATTTAATCTTATAAAAATAAATTTTAAATTTTATAAGTACAATTAACTGTATATGAAGACTCAAAATCCATTGCTTTTTAAATTAATATTATTAAAATAAATGTCCTTATATTTTATATATCTCGTGGTAATAAAATTAAAATGTCCGCCAAAAGACAAGCCACAACTCAACTCAATAAAGATAATTGGGATCAAGATCCTACTTCAAATAGTGGTGAGTATGCCATATTTTATATTATTTAGGTTATATACAATTGAAAATCAGATTCTAATAAATAACAAAAAAAAATGAAAAATAGTAGAAGAAAATAATTATTTTAAAATTATAAGCTTAAATATTTATAATAGGAATGTAAAGTTATACAAATTCTAGGTTTTAAGTTTCTTTTATGAACTTATTCAGATAATGACGATACTGTAAATGTTCAAAACAAAGATTTAATATCCAAAAGAAAAATTTTAGTTGCAAAGAGAAGAAGTGGTGGATCTTCTAGTTATGTAGCACCCCAAAAAGGCCTTGACACTTTGTCTAAAACCTATTTTAATAGTCATATAAATGAACACAAACAAAATGATAATATACATCAACCATTTTCAAATGGATTTAATCCCAGTGATACAAGGTCAATTAAAGTTCAAAATTTACATCCTAGACAATGTAATGAATTGATTTTTTAAAAATATATACTCTTAAAAAATAATTCTATATTTTAATTTAAAATATTTTTTATTTTATAAGCTTTTTCAGATACATCATCATTTGCATCTACAAAACCATTGCCTAGTAAGATGTCCATAAGTATTCCCCCCAATAATTTTAATTTAGCAACTCTTAAAGATACAAAAGATTCTTATAAATCTTTAAAATTTGTCACAAATTATAAACCTGGTGAAATCATGCAAACATTTAGGTTCAATTCCCAACAGCCTATCATTTCAAATACATCAGTGGTTTCCAAATCACTGCCCACATTTCAATTAAGCAACCACGATTCTCAAAATTTGAACTTTAAAAATAGTTTTGTTAAACCTTATGATAATGGTCTAAATAATAACTTTAATTCAAATTTTATACCAAGTAATCTTACATCCACATCTCCCAAAGATTCATTGGATGATCAAAGTAATGTAAAGTCAGAAGCTCTATATTATTCATGTGTCACCAAGCTTAACTCCTCAGTCTCTAAATGGATATCTGCGGTTATTCAAATACACCCAACTGGTGATCTTACACTCATATTTGAAAAATATAAAAGCTATCTTGAAAAATTAAGGTTTGATTTTGATGTACATGTTGTTTCCTTAGATGAAGACAATATCAATCACAGACATGAAAATAATAGTAATTTATATCAAATGAAAATAATCTTAGTTAATAATGGATATAGTTATTTAACACATGTTATTGTGAACAAATTGGGTGAATAAATTTCAAGGGGGTGGGGATAAGTATTGTGCAGGATATAAGCTTTACTTGATTAGAAATATTAATTATTTAATTATAGTAATCATTAGATATTTATATTGGGAAGGGTGGGGGAATATTTTGTAACATAAGCTTTGTTTGATTAAAAATATTAATTTATTCAGTTAGCAATTTAGGCATTAATGTTACAGTTAATTTATGTAATCAGTCAATAATAGGTATTTATTGATTTACTTAATCAATATTTGCATTTCATAGTTCACTACTTCATATAAAAAGGATTTTATACGAACTTAGAATTTTTAACAAGTTATTATAAAATAAAATACAATATTTTATACAAATAAATTTTTTAACAAGTTCATGTAAAAAATAAAGGTTTACATAAACTATAAAAAAAAAATTTTATTTATACAAACATGAGATTTTTCAACTTTAAATCATTTTTTGAGGGTGTTTTTTAAATTTTAAAAGTCTGATTTTTTTTGGATTGTAGGAAAAAGTTTATGGAAAAATTTCCTAAAATACATAGAGTAGGTATTCCAAACATGGTCGAATATATTTCTTGTAAAATCAGATTCATAAATTTATAAAAACACACCCAAAAATGTTTTAAAGTTGAAAATAAAACATTGCTGCTAACATATATAATAATAGAAAAAAATATAATTAAGTGGATATTTAAATAATACTTTAAAAATACACCTTTTATAATAAATAAAATTGCGCTATGTGAGCAATAATTTATAAAAATTTTTTTAAAGGAAATTCAACATTTTAATCAAGTGTATATCAATATTTTGAAAAGAAAATTTGTACAACTAATTTTTTTAGAAAAAACGTTTTGCTATTTTGAATAATAGAATTAATTATTTTTTTATAAGAAATTATTAACCAGAATAACTATTCATTTATTTATATTAAATTTTATACTCATAAAATTAAAACTCATTAGAATATTTCTTTTGAGATTATATATGATTTATATAATATAGCTTATAAAGATATATATTTAATTATATATGTTGTATATTAAAAAAATATTTCAATATAAAAATAATTTATTGCGATAAAATGCAACTATATGTTGTACATATGTATATAAAAAATGTTGCCATATAATCTTTTAATATGTTCTATAAAATATACATTTTTCAGGAAAATCTTATAAATATATTTAATCCTACAGTGTCTTCGTATTATTGATCATAAGTACTGTCTATTCCAGCTTTATTATAGGCCAGTCTACAGAAGAATATTATGCTCATTAGATGTTAAATAAGGTAAAAAAAATAAATACTTATTTTGTAATTGAAAAAATTAATGAGATCTAGATTATAGATTAATAAATCTAAGGAAGAAGAAAAAATATATTATGCTTTAAAATCATGCTGATTCTTGTAAGCCATTATTGGCACCTAACATTTCACACAAATTATTTTATAATCATAAGCCAGGAGTTGCCTCCACAGATGGCTATATTTCATTTTCAAAATTGCTAGATTGATCGATATTTACGGGTTACAAGTTTTGACATTTCATCAACATATAAAATATGATCCATAATATTAGTATACATATATTTATTTTTAAAGCATTTATTTTTAAAGTAAAATATCATCATAAAATTTATTCTTTCCTTTAAGAACACAACCAAAATCTAATTAGTATTTAGAGACCTAACTGAGGTCCTGAATTCCCTTTCATCAATTAAAAAATATATTAGGTTTTTGTATTTTTCCCAATGTTTTATTATGTAGAACCCTTCTTAAAACGTTCCGTGTGAGATATCGAATTGCAATCATCTTGACGACATCTGTAAAATTTAGCATCAAGGTGTTTATTGTTAGATCGATAGATATAGTTATCCATTACATATAAATCATTTTTAGAATTTTGTTGTATCTTGTGAAACTGACCCTCTCATACCAAAAATGGTAATTCAAGAGCTAACTTAAAATTGGGTAGGTATTTTTACCATTACAAAACCTCATTTTCACTATGCTGTTCCTCAAGTCGTAGATAGCATCGTAACTTATAATCATTTGAGCCTATATGTTGATATTTTTATATTATATTAAGAAATACTTTAAAGATATTAAAAATAATGTAATATATATTTTTATTCCAAATTTAATTAGAAAAATCTGCACCAAGAAGTGAAGAAAGTATTTGCCGAAGATGTGATTGAGAATAGGCTCAGAACCTACCACCTTTTTATAGCAAAGGACACGAGGAAGAGGAATAAGTATTACAATATGCCTGTTAGACTATCTTCTATTGAGGTGATATAATTGATGGAAAACATGTGCCAAACAGCCACATGCCGTTTTTAATCGGAAGTCACCACAATAAGATAATATTGGATTTCTTCAAATGATGCTGATCACAGTTGAAATATACCTCATAATTGATAAAAAAAATAGCAAAGAAAAATATAAACCACTCCTTTTATAGTATTAATTTTCTATTTAAAAAAAGATAATACCCCTCGTCCTTTGAGATAATTTGAGCCTTAAAATTAATTCAGATTTATGTGTCAAATAGTATAAGTTTTTTTTAAAAAAAAATAAGAAGTATGATTTTTTTTTTCAAAACTAAATATAATATTTTGATAAACAAATGATTAAAATGCTGATTCAATATATATATATATAAATAATTTTCTAATTTCTGACAAAAATAATATTAAATCCTATTTATTAATCAAATAGCACAAGTGCATTTATAATATTTTTAAATTCACTTTCCCCTATTATTATATACACACAATACAATTTTTATATATTTATGCGAACTTGTTTAAAATCACATGTTCGTATAAAATTCAATAAACTTTTACTATTTTTTATGCGAACTTAGGTATAACCAGGTAAAAAATATGATGTATAATATTGTTTAATCAAAATCTCAAATTTCTCTAATTAAAATATTAGTATTGTTAACCCTAATATTTAATCATTAAAACAAATACTTCAATTTAATTATGCTATAGATAACTCGCCTCAAAGTCAAGACTTTAATAACCTTGACCAACTATCGTACAAATTCCAGCCAGAGGCGTCCATCATTAAAATAGATGGCAATCATGTTGACCACTCTGAGCGTGGTACAAAAAATGATAGTCCTAAAAAGCCTTCCACAGAATCTAAAATCGAATTTCCTCCTCCTTTCAGCTTTTTTGGCAAAAACGAACCTTCTACTCTTCAAAATAGTATTGGATTCCATTTAACAAACAATAAAGATGGAACCACCAGCAATTTAGCGCCATCTATTGACAACAAACCATTTACTTTTGGTTTTCACCAGGATGATAGTTATCAAGGTGAGGGAACTGATACTATCGATAATCATCCTATGAGTAATTTTGATTTTTATAGCCATTTCAATTTATTTATATTTTTATAGAAAAATCAATTAGTAAAAATATGAACAGGGTTGACCAGTTAAATTTTTCAAAGCTTTTTCCTTATATTTAAACTAGTGTTGATAAATCACCTTGTGGCTAGAATCCAAGGATTATCCAAGTTTTTATCCTAAAAAATTCTTTTCAATTGTAAATGTAACTCATTTCCTTAGACTCGGTCATTTTTCAACACTAACTAAATGATTGAATTGAATGACTAAAAAGGGCAATTTTTAAATTATTATTTTTATGGTTATGGTATGTAACATTAAAAATTTAGCCTTTATAATATGTAAAATATCAGTTCTTTAAATTGTAGCTTTAATATCCGAAAGGAATGGCAGGGCTTAAGCTCCATAAATTACTTATGAGGCTTTTTGAGGATGTTAATCTCTGTGCCCACCTTTTCCTACCTAACATTTATTTTAGTGAGACATATATGGTTGAGATTTATCTGATTATTCGCAAAATTGACTTGGGGAGTACAAAATTTTTCCTTGTCACACGCCTTCAAAATATAAAATGCCTCGCTTTTTTTAACATGTAACATAATTATTATTTTAAGGAAAATGTTTTATTTTATATATCAATCCATATACGAGATAATGTTTGGAAATAACATATTTTGAAATTATTTAAGCCTCAAATCTTGATGAACAAGGTGACGTCATTGTGCCAAATGTTCAATCAGAAGAACCCATTTGGCAAGAGGACAATTGTCTTATCACTCTGAAATGCAAACTTTACAGAAAAGATGCTGTAAACCAATAAAATTTTATAAATTTGCTAAATGTGAATATATATCTAAATATTACTTGTTATCATTATGGCTTGACGACGCCCACCCCCTCCCCCTCCCTCATATTAAAAAATTCTAAATACCAAAAATCGACTTCATTTAAAAAAATTTAAAATAGGACAGCTAATTTAACAAAAATTATATAACTTTTGATTAATGTTGTAAATGAAGAAGTTCTTATTTTTTATAAAAAATAATGAATGGCGTTCCTTTTATTTTTGACGAACGCATTCAATTTTAAAAACTATTTTTATTTTTATTTATTTGAAAATAAAAAATATTAATTTATTGATAAGAATTTTTTTATGATACCTCGCCCTAGCTTGATTAAATTAGTTACGAATTTAGTGAACTAATTATTGGTTGTCCACACATTTTATATGAAATTCACATTTTGATTTATTCCAATTGTTTTATTTTGAAGAAAACAATTTTATATAGCGTTCAATTTTTTATTTTAAATAATTACAAATTTTATAAATTAATCTTTTTGATGGGAGCATCTCTATATTTTCCAACTAATTTAACCCACTTATTAGAAGATCAAGAAATTAAGATATAGAAGATTTATTTAAAAATTCACTTTTGGAGCTTCCCAATCAACTTTTCATGATGTGTTAAATGATTGTGATTATTCATCAATTATTGCAGGATGACCAAACATATCTTCTGTTATCTTCTTAATTTGATTGACCCATAAAACACTCAAATAAACAACCTTACATAATTGTTAATGCAGAACGACTATTCATTACATTAAGGTTATTATTATATTGAATTTTTAATTTTTGAAAACAGATATTTAATATGGCCTATAGTTTTTGAATCAGCTATTTCAAAAATAGTTTTGAAGATAGGTTCAGCAATTTAGAAAGTTGGAAAAAGCATACATTTGCCTAAACCTTCTTAAGACAATTTCAAATAAGTAGGATCTGATTACTAGGTGATATATAAGTTTCAAAATTGTTGTGGTGCTTTTGATGGTATTTTTTAAATAATAAACCCATATATAGGTAAATAAGCTACCACTATCTGGTAGCTTGTATTATAATTTAAAAAGTTTTTTAGTATAAGCCTTATGTTGCTTACATATTATAAATGAGGAAAAACTATGATGGTAATGGCTTATTAAATCTTGCTCAAAAATTATACAAATCATTAAATATACCACAACTTTGTTACCTATCAAGAGGTCTTCACTGACTTATCGAGCCTTGGGTCGAGTTCTGATATTTAAAATTTTTCCTCTAACTCGGTTGGACTTTAAGATGTGTCCCAACCCAAAAATAAATATTAAAAATACAAATATCCTAATAATACAATCAGAATAACTGATATTGATATGTCTTTTTAATATGTCCATTATCATATTTTTAAAAATTTTTCTCTGTATAAACAATTATATCATCTTTTTCGACATAAATTATGCAAATTATTATTATATAATCACAATAATTTTTAAATTCTATTATATTTTAACCTTACTTTTTATATATAAACTGAATATTATGTATATGCATACAAATTAAAATATGCAAGTTTATAATAATATTGATTGGGGCTTAAATTTATTTTTATTTAAGGTGATAATATGTGGATAAATACACATAATTTTAAATTGTTTCTTAGATAGACCCTCTTGCCCCTTCCAATATTATACTTGACCCCCTTCTTAAAATGCTAAAAATATTCCTACTTTACATAACCACTTTGCCCACATCGTAGCTACATTATCCTGCTCCTTTGGGCAAGCCACTTTGAATCTTTTCAAAACGGTTTCGAAAAAGGTAAAAAATATATATTTATTTTTTATCAACTTAAATAAAACATTGTTATCTCAATATTTCGGTCCAATTATTTATTGTTTAAAAAGTCTTGGTCCAAAGCATTCACTTAACATTCTCCTTTTTAATTTTTCATGTTCTTTTTTTAAATATTTTTTATATTCTATTTTAATATATTTATATGTAAATTTTTAATATATACATTTTTTTAAATAAAAATGATCATTAATATTTAAACTCAAATTATAAAAAAATTTAGTCTGGCTATGGTCAGGTTGGATCTAAAAATGTGTGCTCGAGTTGGGCTCCACAAAAAAAAATTTAAATTCAGGGTCGGGTCAGGTCAGGCTTGGACCACAAAAAATCACGTTGCCGTCCTCTACCTACCAACCAGCAACGTGATATCCCCATATTATTTTGTTACTGATGAAGCCTATCTCCTTAATAAAAATATTATGACCCCATTTAATAGACGAAGTTATGTTAATATGACATTAGTGATACAATCATAATATAAGATTGTCTACAGCACGTTCTACAGCGGAAGGTGCCTTTGGCTTATGGGTCATTCCATGTCAAATGAGCAAAAAAATCAAGATTTTCTGCCGACCCCTTTTAATTTCGATAAAAAGTTGTAGACTGGTTATATATGTTCCCATTAGATTATAAATAAAATTTTAGCGCATTAGCAACTATATTAGCAGAGATAATCGGGGTTAAAGGTCCAAAAACGTCTTTTTTTGCTTTTTACTGATGTTAAATAATTAGTTTTTAATTATAAACTAAATATGATCAAATATTGAATCTAATATCAATAGCTAAGTTAATAATTGATAGTTATGGCGAAAACATCAAAATTAATTTTTTTTTAAATATGGGTCATCTTATGGTCAGTTAAAAATTTTCGAAATGTATATGATCTCATTTTTTTAAGAAATATTATCCATTTACTGTTTTTTTAATAATTTCTTCAACAATTAGCATGGCTGGATATTTATTTAAAAAAATATTGCGATTTTTATACTTTAAAAAAATAGGTGGCACATAATAGTTTTAATATGTTAAAATTCATTTTTTTATTGATTAAAAATATTTTAATGTATAATATATCATAAAATTCGATTATATAACTTTGTAAAAATTATTCCCCTGAGATATTCGCAGGATAAAAAATTTTAATAATTTTTTTAATATTTCAATGTAATAATTGAAAAATCCGACTAGCACACGAACAAAAAAGCAGAAATAAAGGAGTGCGGGAAAATTATTAATGGGAAAATCGAAAATCACATTAATTACCAGGCCTACCCCCCCCTTCCCCCTCCCTTCTACCCCCCCCCCCTCCCCCAGACTAAGCCATACCCATCAAGACCAATAATGTTATGAAATTGTCATTATCTTAAATTATTAAAATAACCAGAGATAAAGAAAATTTTGAAGATTATCCCCAATAACCCATAATCAGGATGCCTTTGAATAGATTAATGAAACCAAAATATTGGAGAATCACCAATTAAAAGAAAGGGTCATTCCATGTCAAATCAATCACTTTTCGGCCGACCCCTTTCGATTTCGATGAAAAATCGTAGGCTGGTTATATATGTTCCCATTAGATTATAAACAAAATTTTAGCGGATTAGCAACTATATTAGTGGAGATATTCGGGGTTAAAGGTCTAAAAAACGTCTTTTTTTGCTTTTTACTGATGTTAAATAACTAGTTTTTAATTTAATACTAAATATGATCAAATATGAATATAATATCAATAGCTAAGTTAATAATTGATGATTATGGCGAAACATCAAAATTAATTTTTGATATAATATGGGTCATCTTATGGTCAGTTGAAAACTAGAAATTAATATTTCGAAATGTATATGATCTCCGATTTTTAATTTTTTTAAGAAATATCCGTTTACTATTTTTTTAATAATTTCTTCAACAATTAGCATGGCTGGATATTTATTTTAAAAAATATTGCGATTTTTATACTTTAAAAAAATAGATGGCGCTATATATAATAGTTTTAATATGTTAAAATTCATTTTTTTTATTGATTAAAAATATTTTAATGTATATATATCATACATACACAATGTCCATTATATATATTTATTTGTAATTCAGATCATAAATTTTTAAAATTTTCACAAATTTAGCCTAATTAAGATAGTTTATAAATTAATTAAATCTTACATCATCTAAAGGAATACAAAGCCTTACTAGCTTGTGAGATTTCTTCAGGAGATAATATATATGTTTGACTGGTGGGAGTAGAAGGATTGACCAGCGAGAGAATATGAGATTTAGCCAACATTAAATATCATCTTTCAGAGGAAATTTAAATGAGGCTGAAGGTCCACAAGGGTGTAAAAATCGGATTTTTACTTCTTCATTTATATCATTTTAATCGATTATATATCCTAACCACCATTTATCATCATATACACATGTTATATATCCATTAATATTTTAAAAATTAATTTTCTCATTTAAAAACGAAACTTGTTTTATATTATATTTTTTGGAATTAGAATATATTTTGGTTTTTAGTCTATTTTGATCAATGAGAATAACCCCGTGAATTTTTTGGGTCCCATGTATAAGCAGTGCATTAAATCTTTTACGAAAGGCTAATTCCTCTTTGATATATTCTTGATTGGATACATATTCAAATTGAATTCCATTAATATTTTCTTTAGCATAATTATATAATTCTAATGGGGTTAGGATTTGATTTTTATTTGGCCTTTCTGGCAACTAATCTTTTGACAGTTCCTCCGATACCGTCACATGCATTTTTGCCGTGAGCAGTGGCAAATGCCATTTGGCAGGAATATTAAAATCGTATTTATGAAGGCATATGTTCAGAAAAATTTTGCTATTCTTGTATTGAGACGCGGCTTCATCTGAAAAATATATTATTTTTTCTGGTTTAGAATTAAATTTGGATAAAATAACAAAATTTATATTTTGCAGATTTATAATATGCTACAAATGGATGTATAGTGGCCTGCACGTTGTTCGAATGAAATCCCTGAACTTCATCTTGTAAAATGAAGGAATAATTCTCAGAATAATCTAGAATTGTTAAAAATTCCCCATCTTTAAAATTTTTCTACATTTGTCATTAATTTCACATTATGAATGGCGCAGACACAAACCGTGTGTGTGCC